TGGTTTAGATGAACTCTATACCTCCCTCTTTGACTTCACTCTATGATAGGAGTGAGGGGTGGTTCCATTCATTTATTAATTTTTGTCCAAATTATACCCAAAATCATCAAGCAATCAACTTGCTCATTAATGATTTTAGAAACAATTTCACCCTTCTCTCGAGGTTTTCCAATGATAGAGAAGTGTGAAAGGGACAAATAGAATTCAAAACACCCTGTTTGCACTGTTTTCACCTCAGGCACGAATAAACAGTCTTTTGCAAAGAAATAAGGCATAGTCGGATTCATTTGAGCTCAAATCAATTGCGGGTCATCCAGACCCCAATATATGGCAAACCGTACACTTTTGGTTAGCAGTAATGACTGTAATAGTGACTGAGGGTGAAATAGAACAGTTTCCAACAAGGCAAGGCAGACAGAATGGCTTCCAAGGAGCATCACGCGAGCATTGCATAAGTATTGTTATAATAAATTAGATAGTCCTTTTAATTGTTTATTCATTTGGATTTGTAATAAATAGTTAATTTAGACACTCAGACATTCAGACCCTCTTATGTGAGGGCGCAATTTTGTAATAATGTGTATGTCTTCCAACTCCATGTCTTTCTCCCTTTTATTTATTCGCTTATGATGGTTAGATTAGGGACATCACGTTTTATTTAGCATTATTCACGTTTGCATCCACTTGTCTTACATGCACCAGCGCTCGGTTCGTCATCTTAAATTGCTTGTTTACATACTTCTTTGAATACATGTTCAACTGCATACTATCAAATTGATTCATATGCCATATTAGTAGCCGAGCCTATTTAATTGCATATCGTATGTGTTACATCAGCCATATTGCATAGTTAGGATCATGCATTTTTCTAACTGGTTTCTCTTTTGGCTTAGAGTACGAGGTAAACTTTTACGCTTTAGCACGTTGCATAAATGTGATTGTTGCCATGTCTAGCATGCTTACCATGAGGCTAAGTGCTTAATTGATATACCTGCTTGTATGCCTGTAGATGAAGGCTAATTGCTTGAATTGGAATAATTTGAGCCATGCACATTTAAGCCCACTTTTCAAGTGGCAAATTCAAAACTCTTTTCAGAAAACAAACATGACTTAAGTGTTCCAATTATTGCAAGTTAGTCTATACTTGTATGTGTACATCACATAGTAATGCTAGATTAACAATCGGAACAAGAACATATAAATGCAAAGTAAGATTCATATCATGATTAGTAGAGGCCGATCTTTGATCGGGTGAGCAGGGGTGCTCAATTCATGACCTTCCTCTCTCATACGTAAGTTCCCGAGCCGAGACAATCTTGGTGATGACGGACATGTGGCCTTTGGCATGAGTCATGGATTTCCTAAATTCCCCAAAAAATATTTAGGTGCCAACTCTGTATCTGGAAAAGCAGTCCATTTTTGGCAATTTGATTCAAAATTGATTTTTCAAAAGATTTGCTAGATTTGGACTCTTTGGTATTTATCTATTTTACATTACACTTGTGGAATCAGATTCAGAACCGCAGGAGTCCGATATTGTAGAGCTTATTTCGACCTCTGAAAGAGGACGCGAAAAATTCGAGCTACAGTGGCGTGGTACACGTCTTCCATGCCAGTGAAGATAGTGCGTGAAACTCCTCATCCAGACGAAGCACAGGGATACAATCCGTCATTCTTGGCTAAGATGGCAAAACTTTGCTCTTTTGACTGGCTCGAATGCGTGAATAACCCGCAGTTCCCCTCTTCCTTCGGGATGGATCCCTCTGCACCTCCTCCCCCTTAGAATCCTCATTGGATGGAGGAATTGAAACTTACTCTTTTCGAGAATCAATTTTTTCCTTCCTATCAACCTTTAGCTCTTCCAACTACATTTGAGCGATACAAAGCTCAGCTTCTGCTTTCTGCCTTCTTTCACTAGTGTAGACACCCCATTTTGACCAGTCCTAAGACTTGAGTGCTTTCTTTTGAGCACCCAATGATGAAAATTATAATGTGCTATTTTATGAATTTCTCAGCAAAAAAATCAGATTTAAGCTTCAATTCCAATTTTACACCCATTTTGGCCAAATTAGTTGAGACCTATTCAAAAATCTTTATTTTTATTTTTATTTATTATTATTATTATTATCATTATTATTTTTATTTATTTATTTCTTGTTATTATTTTTTTTTTCTTTTTTCTCTCTTGTCCAGGAAATTTAGTAGTTTGAAACAATAGGCCTTTCAAAAAACTAAATGAATTTTGACTATTCACAATTGACCTTTCAAAAAAACTAAATGGCTTTTGACTATTTACAATTGGCCTTTCAAAAAACTAAATGGATTTTGACTATTCACAATTGACCTTTCAAAAAAACTCAATGGATTTTGACTATTCATAATTGGCCTTTCAAACAAATGGATGGATTTTGACTATTCACAATTGGCCTTCCAAAACATAAATAGGTTTTGGCTCTACAAAATTGGCCTTTCAAAATTGGCTCTTCAGAACATGAAAGGGTCTTGGTTTTTGGCCTATATAGAAGACCATTAGAACTATGAGAGGTGGTGAAAATTTTTGATGAGAGAGAGGTCTAAACTTTGATCAAAGAAAGAGTTTATTTTATTCCAATTGAGTGAAAATATTTTAGAGAGAGGTCTAAACTTTGATAAAATAAAGAGTTTATTTTGTTACCACACAAAACTTCACCAAAGCTAAAACTTGAACTTTCTTGCTGAGATTTCAACAACATACTCCACAACTTGAGGGTGATCAAGAGGAAGTTTGGAAATTAAGAAGTTCAATCTTTCTTTGGAAGGTGAATTTCTAGTCTTTCATTTTCTTATATTTTCTATCTCATAGTTATTTTCTTGTGTCTTATTTCATAGTGTTTTGTTATAATCCAAGTGGTTTGTTTATCTCATATTTATTTTCTTACTTTATATTTCATAGTGTGTTGTTGTAATCTAAGTGGTTTGTTTACCTCATAATTATTTATTTATATTTATTCACTTGCTTTAATTTCATATTAGTTTTGTTGTAATCTTGCATGTTCTACCTCATATTTGCTTTCTTGTTTTAAGTTCATGTTGTAATCTTGCATGTTCTATCTTATATTTACTTTCTTGATTTAGTTTCATAGCAATTATGTTGTAATATTGCATTCCCTAGCTTATATTCTTTTTGTATTAAGTCTCTTATTAGTTTCGTTGTACTCTTGCATGTTCATTTAGGTTCATGTCAGTTTTGTTGTAATCTTGCATATTCTATCTTATATTTGTTTTCTTGTTTTAGTTTCATAGTAATTATGTTGCAATTTTACGTTTCCTAGCTTATATTTTTCTTGTATTGGTCTCATATTAGTTTTGTTGTAATCTTGCATGTTCTATCTTATATTTGTTTTCTTGTTTTAGTTTCATAGTAATTATGTTGTAGTCTTGCATGTTCTACCTCATATTTGTTTTCTTGTTTTAAGTTCATGTTAGTTTTGTTGTAAGTCTGCATTTTTATTTTATTTTATATTTGTTTTCTTATTTTTAATCTAACCGGTAGTAGTTAGTTGAGCCACCTACATATTTTTTGTTTGTTCCTTTTCTTGGTTTCGCAATAAGACAGGTTTTGCTAGGCCTAGTTGGTCGGCTGACCTATTTGGCTGGCCGATTAGCTTCTTTTGGACAAGACGGCATTGTCTTCCGATATTAACCAACTTCCGGTGATTTCCAAGGAACATGAACCTTTTTTATTTTATTTTATTTTATTTTGAGTGTATTGTGAGATTTTTATTTTGTTGTAATATTCTCCTCCTCCTCTCTAATTTAGTTTGTAATAATTTATTCAAAGTGTTGTAATAATTTCCCGCCTCACTTCTTTCTATTCCGTTCCTTTACTTGCTTTCCTTATTTTTAAATATTCATCATGTTTATTTATTTATTTATTTTTTTGTCGTTATATCCATGCTTTGCATCTATGTTTCATGCATCTTGATTCAGTTAAGTTTGCATTTATGGATTTAATCAATTCCTATGTGATTATGTGTACTACTTCATGTTCTTGAGATGATTCACTTGTCATATCTTAGAAGCCGAATCTTTAGTTACATCTCATGAGTGAATTGCATTAGGATTTTGTATATAAGATCATGCATGTTTTACTAACTTTGTTTTGTAGCTGTTCAAGGGACATCGGTAAATATATAAGTTTTTATGCATTAGCATCGCATTTGAGTGCGTTTTTCTTATTATGTTTAAGCATCCTACCATGTGGCTACTTGCTTACTTGATATAACTGTATAAATGCCAGTGGATGGAGGTTGTATCGCTTAATTTGGAATAGTGTTGATTTTTATATTTGTGAACTCAATTTATTTGGGTTGTACATCTCCAAAACTCTTTCAAAACTATATGTGAAAGAAATATTGAGAGAGTGATTGCGCTATAATTCAAAAATGTGTATTAAACCTGAAGAGAAGGCTCCATTATATAGGAGAGCTGATACAACATCATTATGATACTACATCATGAAAGAAAACATATAGAAATAAAAAGCAGCTGAAAGCGAAGCATCTGATGAGAAGGCACTACCTATACAACTAAGCAAAGCACTACAACTAAGCATATGATGGAGAAGCACTAACAAAGCATCTGATGGAGAAGCACTAACTAATACATATTAAATATATATTAATGATATAAGCATACAGCTGGTATTATTATATTAACAATAGCTTGATTTCCAACACTCCCCCTCAAGCTACGTTGTAAATGTTAATCAATCCCAATTTTTCCGTCAGATCTTCGAAGTTAACTCGAGCAAGAGCTTTTATGAGGATGTCAGCCTTTTGACAGTTTGTTGGAGTGTAGCTGACTTGAAAAAATCCTTATTCAATCTTTTCCTTGATAAAGTGTCGATCTATCTCCACGTGTTTAGTTCGATCATGATGAACCGGATTCTTAGCTATACTGATGGCGGCTTGGTTGTCGCAGTATAAAACCATAGGATGCTCAGATGGAACCCGTAATTCTTATAACAGCCTGTTCAACCAGATTCCCTTACAGACACCTAGTGCCATAGCGCGAAATTCTGCCTCAGCACTACTACAGGCTACCACTGACTGTTTCTTGCTTCGCCATGTAACCGCGTTCCCCCAAACAAACAAACAATAGCCAAAAGTTGATCTTCGATCAGTCACTGAACCTGCCCAATCTGCATCTGAAAAAATCTCAATTTTTCTATTTGTTGTTCTTTGGAAGAAGAGACCCTTTCCCGGTGTCCTTTTTAGGTACCTCAATATTCTGATCACAGCAGTCATGTGTTTTTCGGTTGGATTATTCATGAATTGACTGACCACACTAACAGAGAAGCCGATGTTTGGCCTTGTATGAGAAAGATAAATGAGTTTTCCCACAAGACGTTGATATCTCCCTTTATCACTTGGTGCACTACCGTCACTTTCTTCCAGTTTGATAGTTGTGTCCATAGGTGTTTCTGCCGGCTTGCATCCTAGCATCCCTGTTTCATTCAGTAAGTCTAGAACGCATTTACGTTGTGAGACTGCTATACCTTTCTTTCACCTAGCAATCTCCATTCCAAGAAAGTACTTAAGGTTTCCAAGATCTTTAATCTCAAATTCCTTTGTTAGGAATTTTTTAAGTAAGCCAATTTCCTCTTCATGATCACCTGTTAGAATTATGTCATCCACATAAACAATGATAATTGCCAATTTCCCTCCTAGGGAGTGCTTCACAAATAATGTATGATCGGACTGACATTGAACAAAAACTGTACCCTTTCACTGCCTTAGTGAACCGTTCAAACCAGGCCCTGGGAGATTGTTTGAGACCATACAAGGATTTTCGGAGTCTGCAAACTTTGTTGAAATTTAATGTTGTCTCAAGTCCGGCAGGAATGTCCATGTAAACTTCTTCCTCTAAGTCACCATTGAGAAAGGCATTTTTCACATCAAGTTGGTGAAATGACCAATCGAGATTAGCTGCCAAGGATAAAGTACACGACCAGTGTTGAGCTTGGCAACTGGAGCAAAGGTTTCTTGATAGTCAATGCCATAGGATGGGGAGAATCCTTTGGCGACCAACCGAGCTTTATAACATTCTACATTACCATCTGCCTTGTGCTTTACTGTGAAAATCCACTTACACCCAACTGGTTTCTTACCTCTTGGAAGATCAGTAATTGCCCAAGTACCATTCTTTTCCAGAGCCCGAACTTCCTCATTGACTGCCGCCTTCCACTTCGGATACTTGAAAGCTTCCTGAATATTCCAAGGAATGGGTATCTCCGTGATGCTAGAAGTGAAGTCACGAAACGAAGGTGATAGCTTATCATAAGAAATAAAGTTCCCAATGGGATGCTGAGTACATGATCTAACTCCTTTTCTCCAAGCTATGGGCATATTAAGAATACTATTTCCTAACTCAGAATTATCAGTGCTATCTGTGGGAAGAATATTGTCACCTGGAATGTTGCTTGGATTAGAACCCGGTTCAGCCTCATGGGATTGTTGAGAAAGTGCTCCTTCCTCCGTTTCCTCTTGGATGTGCTCATTATCCCGCAAGTCAACAATGAACTCGGAATTTTCAGCAGGTAAAGATTGATTCAATGGCTCAGGAGGTGTGGGATTTTTGGTGGTGATAGATGGCTCACTAAATGACTCAAGGGTCCAAAATTGATATTCCTGGGTTGGAGTCTCCCCCTGAATAATGATTTTAGGGTAGTAAGACTGGGTTTCAAAAAATGTGACATCCATGGAATTGTAGAATTTCCTTGTGACCGGAGAGTAACACTTATACCCTTTTTGATGTGACGAATACCCAATGAAGATACACTTAAGTGACCTGGGATCAAGTTTACTTCGATACTGTTGATGGATATGAACAAAGACAGAGCACCCGAAAATTTTTGGTGGGATGGTGGAGATGAGGCGAGTAGTGGGAAAGGATTTTAGGAGAAGTTGACAAGGAGTTTGGAATTGTAGTACCCTAGATGGCATCCTATTGATAAGGTAGACTGCTGTAAGAACAGCTTCCCCCCAGAAGAATTGTGGAACATTTGTGGAAAACATTAGCGATCTAGCAACATCTAACAAATGTCTATTTTTCCGTTCAGCGATGCCATTTTGTTGTGGGGTGTCAACACATGAACTTAAGTAAACTATCCCTTCTTTGGCTAAAAATTCTCCTAGAATGGAGTTGAAATAGTCCCGAGCATTATCAGAATTTAGAATTTGGATTTTTGACTGGAATTGTGTCTGAATCATAATTTGAAAATTTTTAAAGATTTGGCTTGTTTCAGATTTGTCTTTCATGAGGAAGACCCAGGTTAATCGAGTATGATCATCTATGAATGAGACAAACCACCTAGTACCAGTTACATTTTTTATTCTTGATGGACCCCAGATATCACTATGAATTAGTGAGAATGGACGAGACGCTTTATAGGATTGAATGGGAAAATGGGACCGTACATGCTTAGACAATTGACAGATTTCACAATCAAAAGGTTTTGGAGTTTTAAATAATGAAGGAAATAAATGCTTGAGATACATAACATTCGGATGACCTAAGCGATAGTGCCACAACATAATTGCTCTATCGTTATTTTGACACGAAACCGAAAAAGAACTACCACGAATTGCCGTTTGAGGTTGTTCCTGTGGATAGTGGCGTTCCTTAAGGAAGTAGAGTCCAGAGCATTCCTTAGCATTACCAATCGTCTTCCCTGAATCCAAATCCTGAAATTCACAATGAGTGGAGAAAAAATTAGTAACACACCTCTTTTCCTTAGTGAGTTTACTAATTGACAATAAATTACAGTCCAAGTCAGGAACAAGGAGAACAGAGTTGAGAATAAGATTCCTAGACAGCACAACTGAACCTATACCAGCAACCTTTGATAGTGAACCATCTGCTATTCGGACCGTTAAATTATTTTGACATGAGCTATATGTATCAAAAATTGTTGCATCTCCCATCATATGATCAGATGCTCCTGAGTCCACAATCCAAGATTTTTTACGTTTCTTACCAACAGTAAAGGCGTTCAAAGAATTACCTTTGTGAGCCAAGGTTCCGGATCCAATGATGTGGTTGGAAGACGAACCAGATTGTGACTGTAGTAGTTTCTGGAGCATCTCCATTTGCTCCTTGGTGAAAGGGCTTGCTTCAGGTTATGGTAATAGTTCATTTGTACCTACATGATTACCTCGTCCTTCTTTCTCAAGAGGCTGACGTGGCTTCCAATCTGCTGGCTTTCCATGAATCTTCCAGCAAGTTTCTCTCGAGTGACCCGGCTTTCTACAATGATCACACCAAGGCCTACCTCCTTTATTTTTCTGACGGTTGTCAAAAGGAGTGAATTGAGTCTTAAGAGCCGAGCTTTCTGCCATATTCAGTTGTTGATGAGATCCCATCATGAGTTTTTTCCGACTTTCTTCGCGACGGACTTCAGAGAATGCCTCTCTAAGGCTAGGTAGCGGTTTTACTCCCATAATTCTTCCTCTGATTTCATCAAGATTTGTGTTCAATCCTAACAAGAATGTAAACACACGCTTCCCTTCGACAATCTTTTTATACAACAAACCATCAGCAACACACTGCCAGTTATGAACCTCAAACGTATCAAGTTGACGCCATAGACGAGTAAGGGTATTGAAATATTCAGTTACCGTAAGATTGTCTTGACGTAAATCGTGGAGGGAGCTTTCAAGCTGGATGATTTCAGATGTGTTTTCCTTGTCTGAAAACGTTTCTTTTGCCATGTCCCAGATCTCTTTGGCAGTATCAAATGACAGAAAATTTTCGCAAATGTCAGTGGTCATAGAGTTGGGGAGCCACGACATGACCATATTATTTTCAGCTATCCACCTTTTGTAGGTTGATGCTGTGGTTTCTGGTAGCGCCGAGGCTCCGGTGATGTAGTCATCTTTCTCCTTTCCCCGTATAAACATTAACATGGATTGAGACCATTGCAAATAATTTTGCCCATTCAGTTTATGGGCGGTGATCGAAAGATGAGAGGTTTCCATTTGATGAGAGGATGAAGAGGATGAGATGATAATATCAGAAGAAGAAGGGGATGAGTTGATAGTCATTCCAAAAACTGGACCGTATTTAGTCATGAAATAGAAGGATAGATTTGAGTAGAAGAGAGAGACAAAAAAAAATTAAAACAGAAAACTCGAATACTGACTGAAGAGGCGAAAAATGATGAGACAGGATTACACCTGCTCTGATACCATGAAAAAATAAATATGGAGAGAATAATTGACAGAGCAAACAGGCTCTTTGTTTTCAATCGTATTAATCCTTACGGGGAGACTCCATTTTATAGGAGTGATTATACAACATTTGCAAGACAATATAATAAAAAGCTACTAGACAACATAACAAACCTTAGGTGATTCACAATCACTCTAAAAGAATCAAGAAACCTGAGTGTACTACATTCTTACAATGTTTGAATGATAGGTTTTGCTTTCACAGAAGTTTAAAATGAAACTCTCTCATGAAAATATTACAAAGATTTAAGCTCTGAGTTATATTAGAAAATAAAAAGAAAAAAAGAAAAAAAAGCCTCTCAGAGGTGTATATGCTTAAAGTTATAAGCCTCTATGTATAATTTCTAAGAATAAAAATCAGATGAAGAACTTCTTCAGAAATTAGAGAAAGATGAGAGTGATGAAGTATTGAAATTGTGTATAGCACGTTGTTTGAAATATTGAGAGAGTGATTGAAAAAGCTAATAAGCTTTGTAATTCAAAAAATGTGTATTAAACTTGAAGAGAAGGCTCCATTATATAGGAGAGCTGATACAACATCATTATGATACTACAGCATGAAAGAAAACATATAGAAATAAAAAGCAGCCGAAAGCGAAGCATCTGATGAGAAGGCACTACCTATACAACTAAGCAAAGCACTACAACTAAGCATATGATGGAGAAGCAGTAACAAAGCATCTGATGGAGAAGCACTAACTAATATATATTAAATATATATTAATGATATAAGCATACAGCTGGTATTATTATATTAACAATAGCTTGATTTCCAACACTCCCTCTCAAGCTACGTTGTAAATGTTAATCAATCCCAATTTTTCCGTCAGATCTTCAAAGTTAACTCGAGCAAGAGCTTTTGTGAGAATGTCAGCCTTTTGACAGTTTGTTGGAGTGTAGCTGACTTGAAAAACTCCTTCTTCAATCTTTTCCTTGATAAAGTGTCGATCTATCTCCACGTGTTTAGTTCGATCATGATGAACCGGATTCTTAGCTATACTGATGGTGGCTTGGTTGTCGCAGCATAAAACCATGGGATGCTCAGATGGAACCCATAATTCTTATAACAGCCTGCTCAACCAGATTCCCTCACAGACACCTAGTGCCATAGCACGAAATTCTGCCTCAGCACTACTACAGGCTACCACTGACTGTTTCTTGCTTCGCCATGTAACCGCGTTCCC